GTTTTACATCATGGCCGTGTAGCATTGCGTCGTTCTCAGAATAAATTAAGTTCTGTTGAGTTTACTGTTTATCAGTTTATCGAGCCTGATTTATACATGATGTCAGAAGTAAACAGTCCAAGTAGCGACTGGTAAAGATGGTCTTCGTTTCATTTAGGCGACGTGCAGCTCGACACGTTCAGCGAAGACTTCAAAGTGCAGTGAAAATGCCAGCCGACGGTGAAAATGCCACTCCGCCATCGACAAGCGGTACGAGCACTACTAAATTTTCGTGTAACGTTTCTTTACCTCCGAAAATAGAGGTACGCTGTGAAAATCTCTTCAAAGAATGGAAACATTGGCGACAGGTATGGGATGCCTATGAAGAGGTTACCGAATTGCGAAACAAAACAAGCCTCTTTCGCGTAGCTACGTTTATTACTTGTAATAGAAAGGAGGCTCTCGAAGTTCACAAAGGCAGACATATACAAAGGCTGGAGTTATGGGCAAATCATTGGATCGGGAAAACAAACATCATCTACGAGAGATATAAATTCAATACGTTCGCAGGAACAGGCAAAATCAATCGACACTTACATCACTACACTTTGAGCGCTCGCCGAAACTTGCGAGCTTGGAACCTTGAAAGATGACCCTATCCGCGATAGAATCGTTTGTGGTGCCCGTGATAATGGCATACGAAGAAAACTACTTCATGAATCTGGATTAACGCTGTCGAAATGTGTTGACATCTGTCGGGCGAATGAGGCTACCGCAGTGCAGCACAGCTGAAAGACATGGCGCCGAGCCAAACTACCTAACAAGGAGCGAACGCGATCAACCAGAAAGAAGGTTCCAAGAAGCCGAAGGCACCCAAAGAAAATGGTAAAGATCCAAAAGATCAGCTAAGCGCCGAATGCAAATACTGTGGTAATAAGCACGAGCGGAAAAGAGACAAATGCCCTGCATACGGAAAAACATGCTCTTCGTGTGTAAAAGCCAACCATTTTGAAGCAAAGTGTTCCAAGAATTCCCGCGAATGGAAGAAGAAGCGTTCATCACAGAGTCTTCTTATTCTTCAGAAGAAGAGATCTTGTCTGTGTCTTTGGACCACACCGCCAACGCCGTGGATATGTCAAAGTTCAAGAACAAAATTTTCGCCCACATGGAGATTGCAAATTAGTTACTGATGATACAAGTCGATTCAGGAGCTTCCTGCAATGTGCTACCCGTAAGTTTCTTCCAAGAGACACCGAAATTAAGAAGACCAACTTGAAGTTAACCACGTATTCTAAAATTAATTTGAAGGTGCTGGTCGTGGCAAAAATATCTCTGCGGAACCCAAAGAACAGGAAAAAGTATCGTGCTGAATTTGCAATTATTGCTGAAGACTACACTCCACTTCTTGGCTCTTCAGCAGCACAACAATTGGGACTAATAACTGTCCAACAGGACAACATCTTGCAAGTCAAGGAAAGTTATTAGGAACTTAATATGGAAAGAATCACTGCGACTTACCCCGATGTCTTTCAAGGTCTAGGTTGTATGGAAGGAGCTCTTCACCTAGAAGTTGATGAGAGCGCTTTGCCTTCAACCATGCCTCCCCGTCGCGTGCCTCTCACCCTGAAAGAAAGGCTGAAAGAGGAGCTAGCCCGCTTAGAAAAGGCTAATGTGATAAAGAGAGAAGAAGAACCAACAGACTGGGTGTCTAGCCTTGTTATAACAGAAAAACTAAATGGAAAATTAATTAAGAGTGTGCATCGACCCTCGGTATCTTAATAAAGCCCTTAAAAGAAGCCAATATCCGCTGCCAGTAATCGAGGACATACTCCCAGAACTAGTCGATGTCAAGGTATTCTCGAAAGCAGACCTTAAAGACGGATTCTTACAGATACTGCTTGACCAGGAATGCAGTAAGCTAACAACGTTCCAGACCCCCTGGGGCCGGTACAGATATCTGCGGATGCCCTTCGGAATCTCCCCTGCTCCAGAATGTTTTCGGCGGAAGTTGAACCAAAATCTTGAAGGACTTGAAGGGATCTACAAGGTAGCAGATGACATCTTAATTACAGGCCGTGTCACAAGCAAGGACGAAGCCGTGAAAAACCATGATGCCAATTTACTGAAGCTGTTAGAGAGATGCCGGGAGAGGAATTTAAAAGCTAAACCGAGAGAAACTATAGTTGAAATGTACAGACCCCCTTTATTGGCCATGTACTGACGCCTGAAGGAATCAAGCCTGACCCTAGAAAGGTGGAGGCTGTACTAAAGATGGAAAGACCCAGTGATGTGGCCGCAGTCCGAGGATTGGTAAGCTAAGTTAACTGCTTGTCAAAGTTTCTAAGCAAACTTCCAGATCTGTGTGAACCACTAAGGCGACTCACCCACAAGGGCGTCCAGTGGAGCTGGTCAACCTAGCAAGAGAAAGCCTTTGAAAGCGTGAAGCAAGCTGTTACTTCAGCTCCAATTCTGCGATATTTCAATTCTAGTAAACCTGTTGAGGGCCAAGGGGACGTGTAAGATTTGTGCTTATGCAAAATGGTCTACCAGTATCCTACTCAAGAAGAGCTCTTACCACAAGTGAAAGAAACTATTCTCAAGTTGAGAATGAACTGTTGGCCCAAATTGAGAAAGAACTGTTGATTAATCTTTCAAATCTTTGATTTACCTTTGAAAGTCAACCTTCTAGTCCTGTCCCAAGTTCCGATAACTAGTCAAAAATTTAAGGCTCAAGCTAAAGGAAAAATCTCTGACTGAAGATGTTATGCTATAGAAAGCACCAAACCGAACCAATAATTTTGGTTAACGTGATTATTGGAAAACTTCTTAACCTGCGGTGAAACCTGGGGTCAAAACGCAACTTTTGGCAAAGTTTAAAGACATTTTTTTCATGGAGTTCAGAGCCACCAAATTAAACTGAGGGTAAAGATGGCCCAATTGCATATTTCATGCTAAATTTGTCTAAGCCATCAACTTAACCTGTGACGGCATTTTATGTCTTCCACTGCAATCTTAAGAGATACGTTGAAATGTAAAAACTTTGGTGCTCTGTCTTGACCACTTATCTTTCTAAGTAATACCAGAACCTGTAATTTGCACCCCTAAGCGGACAGATAACGAATGTCCCGCCCCTTCCACATGGAGGTCCCCTAAAAAAAAAAAAAAAAAGAAAAAAATTGTTCAAATGTTGTTGTTCAGTAGAGATCAATGCGCTTAGCTACCCCTAACTAGTCTGTTTTCGACAGTCTGCTTTCTTGTGGAAGTAAATATTTAACACTTATTTCACAGCGCGCGTTGGATATGACAAAGTAGATAGTCACCGAGGCGCGTGTGCAATAATTGTTTTATTAAAAGTGCCTCAAAATACAGAAAACTACAATAATAATAATAATAATAATAACGCCCCCCAAAATTACCGCACGCTAACCATATTTATAGAGCATGGTATAATGGCTCATATACCTCGATCACTAAGTCAATGAAAACCTTGAATTGCATCCTCCAAAGATTCCATTTTCAATAAAACGAGATAAAAGCTGTCTATATGCCTGTTATCTAGTAGTATACGTAATCGTAGATTAAAGAGTGCGTTCGAGTTTTGGTAGGTTTGTAATGTTAAGAAGAGCAAAAATTCTAGAAACAGCATTTTGTGCCTGAGCTGTTACGTAGGCGTGAAATTGGCCTCCCTCAACGAATGTTGACAACGCGTTGACAACGCTCCTAACATAAGCTAATCATATTTTTGCGTTGTGAGAACAACACATAATTCAAACTCCCTGGCTTAGGCGCTAGTCCCTCCTTCCGCGCGCCCCTCGCCCCCAGGATGTCACGGGGCCAGTTTTTTCTTGTAGTTTTTCGCGTCACGCACGAAGGACTAAGCGAAAGAGGGACTACTGATATTCTAGGTGTTATATGGTTGATATTACGCATGACTCATGCATATTTTGTGATGAAAAGAATATCTACAAGGTTGTAATGATATTTTTTCAATTTAATATGGTTAATTTAAAGCCGATTTATAGGGTACATGTTTTTTGTAAGTGACGAGTTTATGTAAAGTCTATGACACGAATTGTTTTGTGTAAATCAATCTTGTCGTCGTAGGATGTTGAAACATGTATCGAAAGACTACCGACAACTGTATTGACCAGATCTAAATAAAATATGCTAATCGTCCTGGTACGTGAGCGTTTTCTGTTTCGCTTGTCACATCCGACAATCTCATGCATGTGTTACCATTCCTCGCTTCTTATGTGTAAGCCAGAAACTCTAAACGTTGTCAGTAGCAGGATCGATTTTGATTGGTTGACTAATCGGACGCAAAGGAGTTCGATTGAACCATGTTTTGCTAGCTTGGTGTGCAAGAGTTCGGTATTTTCGATAATCTTCTAGGATCGCTCGATTCCCGCCCGCTGGTCAAGCGTAGCGATCTCCCTGGGGAGAAATTGTACTAACTGCGCAAGATCCTAGTCTAACCTAACATACGACATAGTGTCTGGCGGTTCTTGACATTTGACACTGGAGTTTCCCAGTTGGTCATAAGGTTACTAAAGGTACCTAAAAGGGATCTAAGTTGCTAGTTGTTAATAATGAGTACTGCAGTTGAAAGGTGTGCATAAGTGTGCAGCCAGAATTTAAAAAAGATATGTTGTATAGTAATATAGGTACTATCTATTATATAGTACCTGAGCTTTGCAATCAATTTGGTTTTAGAGAAATTAAGCCTTCAGAAATTCTTAATTAAGACTCAAGTAATTTTAAATGATAAATTGACTTCATTGGACTCTACTCTAGTTAAGAGAAAATTATTTCTTTGGAACGGTTTACTAAAATTCCGCCAAACATTTTTAGTTTTGAGAAAACCTGAATTAAGTTAATAGCCTTTTTCAAAACAATCTCTTCGCGAAAAAGTATGTCTACGCGCCAGATGGCCAAGGGCGTTGGACGGTGAAGTAGTTGGGCATTCTGTTTTAAAGTGGTCTGGGTAAATTTGTGCTCATAAAACTTGCAGGATACGCAGGAAGGTTAGCATGTTTATTTAACTCAAACAACCTAGTAATGGAAAGGCATTCAGCGATGAATCATTACTTCGTTATGATTAAGGTAACATTGATCAGTTCTCATTATCAAAATTGAAACAGTTTTAAACTTTATTAAATGTCGTTTTTCTAAATTGAGGACACTTAATGCTAGTAACAGCTTATTGTTGTTTATACAATTCGTTTTTATCTTTATAAACTTGTCCGTTGCAAATATCAAGTTCACTTCCGAGTCTTACTTCCTTTTCTCCGACTGAACTGCTTGCTAACCACTCAGGCACGTGGAAAGACATTTCTTACACACGGTCAGGGTGTGCGTGACCCTAATTGTTTTGGGGCCCTGACAACAGCAACCTGGCTCACATTGATAGTACGTGTACGTCTTGTCACCCTTCGTATATGGGTGCGGGCGCTTTTCACAGTTTTGTCCTTTCAACGCTATGTCTGAGGATAGATCGCAAGAGATTGCCGTATCTTCTTCTTAGTAAAGCTTTGCTGAACGTTTGCCTATGTCCTACATGGTTTCTGCTTCCCCTTGATCGGTAGAGTGGTTGTCTACCACATCAGTGTGCTCTAAAGCGTTTCTATAAAATCTGCTGCCACGCGATCTTGCAGAAGCTGCAGCGATGGCAAGTAGGTAAGCCATGAACCCTTTAAATGGGAACGTCTGCAAGGTATAGAAAAGGAAGGGTCGTGAGTATATATTTATGATACAAACGGCCAGGAAATGATTAATTAAAATATTATCCAATATACCTTAGAACCTGGCGGGAGTATGTTGATAACTTCGGCTGCACTTGTCCACGAGGATCTTAACTAGCCACTAAAAGTACCTATTTCACTGGCGTGGTTCTTAGTGAATATAGATCGCGACAGGTGAATTCTTACGCACATGCTCTTGACACAACACCTGCTCATGTGCCGCCTCCAAGCCTGGTCGGCGGAACAAAACGCTTCTTGTTTGCGAGACAAAAACAAGCGTGCTCTACAGTTGTATTCAATAACATAATTTAAGCTATAAATAGATACACAATTCTTACAACTTCACTTTGTAGTACCTCAATCATAATGACTCTTGCAAAATGACTCTTGTAGAACTGGGTGAATCATGACTTACTAGAGATGTCCGAGCCTGCGATGCAGCCGGACGAGTCACAAAATCCTATCAGAACCGGCGGTTTATATTGTCTGCGACGCAGGCTTGCCTGTAGACGTCCGAGCTTTGGAAAACTATCGTTTCGTTTTTCAGACCTAAGCCGGACATAGTAAGGCCAAAGAATAGACTGAATTGTTAGTTAGTAACTTGCATGCCATCAGGAAATATATTCTTCTTCGGGTTAAGTTATTCAGTTCTGTCAGCAAGCGAATAACAGGTGAATTAATAATTAATGATGATGCTTTCGACAAACTCGTTGCTTACTGCTCATTATCATTTTTATTTTCTGGTTCTTAGTTTGCTCGTTCCCTTTTTTTTTTTTGTTTTATTTTTTTCATTCGTTCGTGCTTTTGACTGAATTTTGTTGAGGTGAGAACGACTGCGTCTAAACTATAAAGAGAGAGAGGCCCGGATATGTGACGTGGGTCGGAAAGGTTGTTTAAAAAACGGAGCTAAGTGTAAATGAAAAACGTACTACTCCTCTTCTTTCAATAGCGAAGAGGCATTTGTATATTGAATTATAATTATACCAAAGATAAACAAGTAGGCCGTTTGTATATCCGACGAGTGAGGGTGTGTTCGGTCTTATGAGGCAAGGACTACCTGACAGTTGATTGGTATGCAATGATGCCTCAGTTATAGGAGATAACGAGTAGCAAGTAATGATTCTTCACGATTTAAAGGGATTGGAAGTTACCTGAAAAGTTATTCACCAGAATTACAAGTTTGACGTGATGAGGAAGAAGGCGGATGACGCCGTTGAAGCTGTACCAGCGATCCCACCTTAAACAAATTTTAAGCTGACCTGGTTCTATTGTTAACTACTGTATACTTAATTCACATTAGATGTAGGACGAACGAGATCAAATTTTATTGGAAGACGCCTACAAGAACAACAAAAACGACACCTGGGCTTTGGCCATTCAATTTTGTTTAACTGTTATCGCATCGCTCTGAGTTCAAGTTAGACTCCTTCTCTTAATTTATCGTGTAGTAATAAACTATTTTCGTCATAGAAAGCAGTCGTGGAAAGGTACTAGTTTAATTAAAACAGTGTGTTCACTGCAACAAATCACTAAGTTGTTAAGGGCCATCAATGTCTCAAACAACTTTTTAAAAAGGAAGCTCCTAACGCATGACATATTTACATTCAGATATTAGGTTTTATGATCATGATCTTTTACGGAGGCAGGCTGTTGAAACAAGATAATGAATAATTAAACTTTAACTAGGACATACGGAAGCCATGGAAATTTGAACCGAGCAAATAAGAGATGTTCAGCTGTAGGCGTGTTGAGGTAGGAAGACTGAAACTTTGTAAGTTTGACTTTTGGGATGCAATATTTCAAAATAAAGTGTATATAAATAATATCACCACGCGCGCGGAAAGACATACGATCAGCTAAAGGGGGGCCTCTTAATTCCTCGCCATATATCATACCAGCTTTCTTTTATTTTATTTGAACCGTTTCTTTATTTACATTGCATGAGCAAAGAAAATATAGAGCGAAAGAAAAATGAGAAATAACAGTTTAGAAAACAGCGTGTAAGGGAAATCGCATGCTCAGACCTGCATTTCTATTTCACATTTAGACTATTCCCTTTCGATTTCTATCGCGTGATAATTGACGATTGCGCAGTCCGAGTCAGCTATTACGCACAGAAATCGAAAGCGAATAATCTTATTGCTTTAGCATAAATGTACTAGTAGTGTTTTTAATCCAACATTTTACATAAATCCTCTTCAGAGACACTTCGAACACGCAAAGAAGCGGCCGCCATTTTGTTAACAAGCGTACACTGCTGGGCCACTCACTAAGTTCAACAGAATAGATAGTGAGTAGCGTAGCCACATGTAATCAGGGAACGGTATTCGTGATAGAACGCTAATAGATTTATACTAAAACTCGATACAAAGACAGAACTAGCACGAACTGTTGGCGTATTTTGGTAAAGAGACAAACCAACTAATTTTTTTCCTTTTCACGAAGTGTTTCCTTTAATTTAAAGAAATAAAAAGTAATTTCTTTTCGTGTTTCTATCGAGTTATAGAATTACAAATACCACGACTTTTCTCGTTCTCCCAAACTTCCGCTCGTGTTTGTATTTCTTCGCCCCCTGAGACGAAACCTCGTACAAAACAGTTTGACAGGAACTATATTTCCACGTGAATAGTTTCGCAAAGAGACTCGTTTTGACTTTGAGATGAGAGGGCAACTTGGAGGTAACTCTTTAAAAATAAGCAATAAGGATGCTGGGTGGGACACTAAGAAAATGCAAATGCAAATGATCACAAATGCAAACGTTGTTTGGTTCATTTCCATCTTAATGGTTGCTTTCAAGACAGCGCTTACAAGTTCCCTGCACAAGAATGGATTGTCAAAATAAAGTNTAATTGTTTTGGGGCCCTGACAACAGCAACCTGGCTCACATTGATAGTACGTGTACGTCTTGTCACCCTTCGTATATGGGTGCGGGCGCTTTTCACAGTTTTGTCCTTTCAACGCTATGTCTGAGGATAGATCGCAAGAGATTGCCGTATCTTCTTCTTAGTAAAGCTTTGCTGAACGTTTGCCTATGTCCTACATGGTTTCTGCTTCCCCTTGATCGGTAGAGTGGTTGTCTACCACATCAGTGTGCTCTAAAGCGTTTCTATAAAATCTGCTGCCACGCGATCTTGCAGAAGCTGCAGCGATGGCAAGTAGGTAAGCCATGAACCCTTTAAATGGGAACGTCTGCAAGGTATAGAAAAGGAAGGGTCGTGAGTATATATTTATGATACAAACGGCCAGGAAATGATTAATTAAAATATTATCCAATATACCTTAGAACCTGGCGGGAGTATGTTGATAACTTCGGCTGCACTTGTCCACGAGGATCTTAACTAGCCACTAAAAGTACCTATTTCACTGGCGTGGTTCTTAGTGAATATAGATCGCGACAGGTGAATTCTTACGCACATGCTCTTGACACAACACCTGCTCATGTGCCGCCTCCAAGCCTGGTCGGCGGAACAAAACGCTTCTTGTTTGCGAGACAAAAACAAGCGTGCTCTACAGTTGTATTCAATAACATAATTTAAGCTATAAATAGATACACAATTCTTACAACTTCACTTTGTAGTACCTCAATCATAATGACTCTTGCAAAATGACTCTTGTAGAACTGGGTGAATCATGACTTACTAGAGATGTCCGAGCCTGCGATGCAGCCGGACGAGTCACAAAATCCTATCAGAACCGGCGGTTTATATTGTCTGCGACGCAGGCTTGCCTGTAGACGTCCGAGCTTTGGAAAACTATCGTTTCGTTTTTCAGACCTAAGCCGGACATAGTAAGGCCAAAGAATAGACTGAATTGTTAGTTAGTAACTTGCATGCCATCAGGAAATATATTCTTCTTCGGGTTAAGTTATTCAGTTCTGTCAGCAAGCGAATAACAGGTGAATTAATAATTAATGATGATGCTTTCGACAAACTCGTTGCTTACTGCTCATTATCATTTTTATTTTCTGGTTCTTAGTTTGCTCGTTCCCTTTTTTTTTTTTGTTTTATTTTTTTCATTCGTTCGTGCTTTTGACTGAATTTTGTTGAGGTGAGAACGACTGCGTCTAAACTATAAAGAGAGAGAGGCCCGGATATGTGACGTGGGTCGGAAAGGTTGTTTAAAAAACGGAGCTAAGTGTAAATGAAAAACGTACTACTCCTCTTCTTTCAATAGCGAAGAGGCATTTGTATATTGAATTATAATTATACCAAAGATAAACAAGTAGGCCGTTTGTATATCCGACGAGTGAGGGTGTGTTCGGTCTTATGAGGCAAGGACTACCTGACAGTTGATTGGTATGCAATGATGCCTCAGTTATAGGAGATAACGAGTAGCAAGTAATGATTCTTCACGATTTAAAGGGATTGGAAGTTACCTGAAAAGTTATTCACCAGAATTACAAGTTTGACGTGATGAGGAAGAAGGCGGATGACGCCGTTGAAGCTGTACCAGCGATCCCACCTTAAACAAATTTTAAGCTGACCTGGTTCTATTGTTAACTACTGTATACTTAATTCACATTAGATGTAGGACGAACGAGATCAAATTTTATTGGAAGACGCCTACAAGAACAACAAAAACGACACCTGGGCTTTGGCCATTCAATTTTGTTTAACTGTTATCGCATCGCTCTGAGTTCAAGTTAGACTCCTTCTCTTAATTTATCGTGTAGTAATAAACTATTTTCGTCATAGAAAGCAGTCGTGGAAAGGTACTAGTTTAATTAAAACAGTGTGTTCACTGCAACAAATCACTAAGTTGTTAAGGGCCATCAATGTCTCAAACAACTTTTTAAAAAGGAAGCTCCTAACGCATGACATATTTACATTCAGATATTAGGTTTTATGATCATGATCTTTTACGGAGGCAGGCTGTTGAAACAAGATAATGAATAATTAAACTTTAACTAGGACATACGGAAGCCATGGAAATTTGAACCGAGCAAATAAGAGATGTTCAGCTGTAGGCGTGTTGAGGTAGGAAGACTGAAACTTTGTAAGTTTGACTTTTGGGATGCAATATTTCAAAATAAAGTGTATATAAATAATATCACCACGCGCGCGGAAAGACATACGATCAGCTAAAGGGGGGCCTCTTAATTCCTCGCCATATATCATACCAGCTTTCTTTTATTTTATTTGAACCGTTTCTTTATTTACATTGCATGAGCAAAGAAAATATAGAGCGAAAGAAAAATGAGAAATAACAGTTTAGAAAACAGCGTGTAAGGGAAATCGCATGCTCAGACCTGCATTTCTATTTCACATTTAGACTATTCCCTTTCGATTTCTATCGCGTGATAATTGACGATTGCGCAGTCCGAGTCAGCTATTACGCACAGAAATCGAAAGCGAATAATCTTATTGCTTTAGCATAAATGTACTAGTAGTGTTTTTAATCCAACATTTTACATAAATCCTCTTCAGAGACACTTCGAACACGCAAAGAAGCGGCCGCCATTTTGTTAACAAGCGTACACTGCTGGGCCACTCACTAAGTTCAACAGAATAGATAGTGAGTAGCGTAGCCACATGTAATCAGGGAACGGTATTCGTGATAGAACGCTAATAGATTTATACTAAAACTCGATACAAAGACAGAACTAGCACGAACTGTTGGCGTATTTTGGTAAAGAGACAAACCAACTAATTTTTTTCCTTTTCACGAAGTGTTTCCTTTAATTTAAAGAAATAAAAAGTAATTTCTTTTCGTGTTTCTATCGAGTTATAGAATTACAAATACCACGACTTTTCTCGTTCTCCCAAACTTCCGCTCGTGTTTGTATTTCTTCGCCCCCTGAGACGAAACCTCGTACAAAACAGTTTGACAGGAACTATATTTCCACGTGAATAGTTTCGCAAAGAGACTCGTTTTGACTTTGAGATGAGAGGGCAACTTGGAGGTAACTCTTTAAAAATAAGCAATAAGGATGCTGGGTGGGACACTAAGAAAATGCAAATGCAAATGATCACAAATGCAAACGTTGTTTGGTTCATTTCCATCTTAATGGTTGCTTTCAAGACAGCGCTTACAAGTTCCCTGCACAAGAATGGATTGTCAAAATAAAGTCGATACATCTTAGTTTACACTGGGACGGAAAACAATATTTTTCCAACACAAGAGTAGATCCTCGATTTCCCAAGCCTCACAAGAAACTCCGGTTCAAGAGTTCAAACTGAAATGTGTACGAAAGAGAAAACTCTAAGTGTCTTTATCATACGAGCGCGTTAGTTCAGTCAGCCAAACAGATTGCTCTGTTGCCCGGTAAGTTCAATATTTTCCAACCATTGCACTGAAAACTGTCTCGAGTGATCCCTTGCGACCCACTCTTGAAGGATTTCTCGTAGTTTCATAAGCCGGTCAGTCCGTCGATCCGTCGATCCGTTGGTCCGTCGGTCTGTCGGTCCGTCATTCATTCATTCATTCATTCATTCATTCATTCATTCATTCATTCATTCATTCATTCATTCATTCATCCAGTCAGTCATTCATTCTGTCAGTCAGTCAGTCAGTCAATCAGTTACTCAGTCAGTCAGTCAGTCAGTCAGTCAGTCAGTCACTCAGTCACTCAGTCAGTCAGAAAACTGAAGTTTTCCATCTGCCCGTTTCCATGACAATGTCCGGGCTTATCCCAAAACCAATTGCGACAGGCCGGAAATCTTTGGCCGAGTACGATCAGGCCCTCTTTTTTTTTTTTTTTCGGCCAACGGGGAAAAGGGAAAAAAACGCTAGATCGCGTTCTTTTGTTTTTCTTTTCCCCGTTCGCAGAAACTGAAAGCACGTCATCGCAAGGAAGATGAACGTGGGAACCTGATCTCAACTGAGTGTCGTTCTTGATACCATACTGAAAGCTACAATAGCTGATCCATCATTGCCAAATGTAATCTCATGCGTGGCAAACAAGTGTGGTGCTAGTTTCCCAGATTAGGAATTGTACCTCGTTCTATCCGGAACTTATGTCTGCTGAGCTTAGCGTAAGAGTCCGGGCCAGTAGTGTCGGTTATGGCCTTGAGGGGAAGCTTTCTGACGGAATGTCGATCGTTTGACTCCCACGAAATAAACAGCCGTCGAAACGGAGTGATGGGAATTACTTTCGACCGTGAGAGGAGAATCGCTGTTCTAGACCGAGGGGTGATTTTGTCGGTTTCTAGGGAGCCATGCCAATCCCAGGCGTTATACAAATTTTGGAGGGCGACTCTGGTTCATCTTACGACAGACTGGGGTCGAGAGACCAAGTGATACACCAATGGGGGATAGTAGAGCCGCTGGGCAGAAGAAGTTGTAAAGTCCTTAATTTGGCGGTTATAAGAAGACATTGCCAGGATAGGGTTCAATGTAGAGACAATTGGGAGCCGGGATCAAATGTGTAACGGTTCTGGAGAGCTGGCCGTGCCGCTTGATTGTCTGCAGAAAGATGTGTTGAAGGTTGCTGTGGAGCTGAACTGGCGGGCAGGTTGGCATCTTCACCTATAGAGTCTGAAACCAGAGCTGAGCTGGCAACCATGGGGATATGCCGCAGGTGACATGATTCTGCTTTTGTCACTGTCATTCTAGGGATTAAATGAAATAATGGAGGACTGACGTAAACTGATGTTGAGGCTGGTCCATTCCAACTGAGCGAGAACGTCCACGCCAATGGAGTCTGGGTCATAATACTGGCTGTTGCAGCAGTGGAGATGGGTATCTGTGAAACTTGAAAGCGATCGACGGAATGGTGTTCCCAGGCACGATCTAAGCTTTGAACGAGCTCGACCCAGGTGAAGCTGCCATTCGTAGTGAGGCAATAGGCGCGTTGCCGTTCCTACTAAATTCTTCGCGGAGAGCTCTATGCCTGTGTCTTGAGCCCTAACCCCACACTGCCAAGGGCGGCCAAGCTTAGACTGGATCAATCCAGTGGTTGATGTAGGGCACTGTGGCGTCATTGTTGGATAATACTTTCAGAACGTGAGTATTTCGCTTAGATAACTAATTTTGGACACTCAAATAATAATGACAAAAATAAATGAATAGACAAATGAATAAGTGATATACACATTTTAAAAAAGGTATTTGTGACTAGATTACATAAATTCATCAAGTGGCGTACATAACACACTTTGTGTACGTGCCCCCAATTAAAACAGGAAGGTCTCTTTGTCTAATGTTATTTTTAAAATTGTTCAGTGTCGTTCGCTGCCTATCACATGGGTTAAGTTTTGACCAGAGATCCGGTCCTAAGAATCTTATTGAACATGATGTTTACCATATCGGACTGAGGAGAAGCGAGGCACATTAAAGTCAGCATTTCATAAGGAATATCCCTTGTTACAGTCGTAAAAATTTCTGCCATGTAATCGAGGAAAAGGCCGTTTTTAACTTTGTACATTAATTAAAAATCGCAAAATCTTGCAGTCGTCTGCTGTAGCTGAGATGCCAGCTTTGTATGACTTAGAAGATTTTCATGGGTGTCTGTTTTGGAGCCGAGAATGACTCAAGCTCGTTCTTGTACCCTTTCTACCTGTTGGAATGCTTACAGAAATGCCATACAATATGGCAGTAGGTCAGGTTTGGAAGAAGTGCTGTTAGACACAACCGAAGTTTGGACTTGTATGGAATCAGGCTGCGGAGTCTTGCCAGCACCCCCTACTTTCCGGCTGGCCTTTTTGCATATGTCGCTTATGAGATCAGTAAAGGTGAGTTCTTCCAATTTGTTTTTGGTTTGAGTTCTTGATTATAAATTTTCAAGGTGCATGCGCCCTCAACGTCCTTGGCGCACTTTTGAGGCACTGTCGCTAAGACTTGAAATTTCTTCGGCTTAGCTTAGAGAAAATTTTGCCTTGGACCACTGCGATTCATTTCCTAATATAATACTTTGGATCGAGAGGGCGGAGATTACAGCTTCCGATAGTAGTAGCCGATATGCGCTCAGGCACCCATGCGTATAGTTTTGATTGACCCAGAACGCATCTGGTATCACGTCTGATGCGTCTGGCGGGAATCTTGATCACGAGGTGGCCATTTGCCCGCAGGCAGGAGACCATTACGAGTCAGTCGACGAGCTATTTGTAATGGCGAGTAACAGGGAAAACTTTTCCCAGTTCTGATTATCCATCCTAAACTCGTTAACGTATCCAGCTGAAGCTGCTTGTGACACGCAATCTCCTCACCAGGAGACATAAGTAATGTGAGCTATTCATATTATATCGTCGACGTAAATGACGAGACGTAAAATAAACCGAATAGGCGGTACTGATTGTCAATTTTAATTCACAATACTAAAATAACACAGCAACATGTCACGCGAGTTGTACTCTGATCAAGGAATAGGCACGAGAAAGGTGGCAATGTTGCTCATTGCAGCTGCAATTCTTTGCCTGCTTGGCTTTTTTCAGAGTTTTGGAGCTTCGCAATATCGAAGCACTGGCGGACGCGTAGTCGATTCCAAAGATTCTGGCACTCAACCAGCTGACTCAAAGGCACGTTGCTTACTTAACTGTGGCGTCCATCGCATGGATCCCAACTGGATGGATTCAAATGGGGCTTTCAAGGTATCAAGAGAACCTGAATACACTGTTCACTTCTACTTCGTTTAAATCATAATTTTAACTCGTTATTTCATGCATGACGCTTAAAACAGTCAAAGTACGTGCAACTATGCAAAATGTTAATTGAAAACGCCATGGAGTGAAACAGCACGTGTCATTGAATATGCAAGGAGGTTTGCATATATAAAAAACACTCAGTGATTTTTACTGCTTTCAGCTGTCTGCCCCACACATTTGCGATTGCAGTGATTTAAAACTAGAGGCTACTCTGAATAGTAGTACAACAGGACAACTAAATAACAAATTTGGGGCTAACCGATCGATAACCGACGTTTTTAATAGCTCTGACTAGGGTGATCACATGTCACATGTTCAAATTCTCGTGTCATTGAATAATACTAAGAGCAATGCTTTGCTCAAGGTGCGAATTGTGGGGATCAAACAAGGAAATGATACGTATCTGTACTGTTTTACTACTGATACATTACGATAAAACTAACTGGGGTATCCCAAGATCTCATTAAATACTTTCCTCCAAGATTGTAATTCTATCTGCGTAGACAGAGACCCATTACTTCTTTCCCACAGGCAGCAAGTCGTCACTCTTGTTTTGAAAAGTGTCTAGCAAGCAATAAACAAGGTAATTTTACTTTCCAGGCAAAAGAGATAATTTAATCTGATACACTTTTTGCTGTGGTCCGACACAACAACAACTTTTAAAATATTTAAATTAATTCATCATGAATTAATTAGAGCAATTAGTGCATAGGAGTCCAATATTGTGGATAGAATGAATACCGAGATCAGACTTCACAAGTGGAAATTTGTTTTTAGTTCAGTTTGAAAGGGCGATAGGCCGGCGTCACTGCGTTCCATTTTAAGGTATCAGTATCCCCAAAATTGACCATTTTTTCAAAAAAAATGGTTTTCGCTTTTTCAGGTAGATCCTTTTACGATCTTCCATTTAGAAAAATAATACGGAAAAAGATTGAGTCTAAAAAGTTGAAAACAGAAACTTTTCTTTGCGTTAATTACCTGTAATTGATAGCTGTCAAAGGGTTGTCAAGAGAAGTAAATTTACATCGCAATCGCGGCCTAGGACGAATACCAAACGTTTGTGTTTGGTATAGTCGACGAGCTGTTCTGAGTGTTCTCCCGCGAAAGTTCGTGTCCCCTTGCAAGTGCGAAGAAAGCACTCGGGGGGAAAAGGTTTCAAAAACATTCGATCAGAATTGAGCTGATACGTATCTGCGTAGGTTCCTGTTTCGAGTTGTTTGCACTGGACAAGAGAGACGTTTGACATTCTCTAAGCGTTATTTCCTTGGGGCTTTCGTCGTTCGAAGGGGTAACGGTAACATCTTCGCTCAATCGATATCACGTGTATTCCCTTTACATTTTGATACGTTGTTTACGAGTGTACTCTTCCGTTGTCTACGGCATCTCTAAAGCTTCGTTTTCACTAGCGACGCAAACACAAGGGCGTGCGTAAACACAATAATTCTTATTTCACCATGAAAATGGCCTTAATGCAGGCATAAGCACAAGCGCAAGGATCAAAATTTTCCTTTTTTTTGTGCTTGCGCTTATACTTGCGTTTGCACTGCAACAAGTGAAAACGAAATACCGCTCAGGCATAACACAAGCACAAGGATATTTACCACACTTGGTTATGTTTGGCCGATGAAAACCCTGGATCCAGATTACCTCGGGCTTAAACAGTTTTACAACATGGCGGAAGACTCGGATGATTTTGCTTGTGCTTATGTTTCCGTCGATTTTCGTTTTCACTTGGGTCATCTCAATCGCTTGCGCTTGCAATTGCGCTTGTGTTTGCGCTTGTGCTTGCGCTTGTGCTTGCACTTGTGCTTGCGTTTGTGCTTGCGCTTGTGCTAGCGCTTGTGCTTGCGCTTGCGCTTGTGCTTGCGCTTCTGCTTGCGCTTGTGCTTGCGTCGCTAGTGACAACTAGGGCTTAAACTAAGGCGTTTTGCAAATCAAAAAGAACAACAAAAAAAAACAAAACAAAACGAAAATTATTTTCTCACTAGCCTGGGGGCATGAACAGTGGAATTCAGATCTTGCAAAGGATACCATCTCGCCAGAGAAAACATTCGCGACTCTCAGTTTGTAACTGATACGAGCTCTATTGGCACAGTAAAATGAGCCTTCACTATGTCGATCAACGGGTCATCGTTTTCAAACTTTTGTGTATTTATCGCATTACATCGGAAGAAAGCCCAGAGTATATTTTCCTTCGTATATCTCCAAACTCGTTCCCACATTTCAAAACGAAAATTTCATCGAGTGAGGCGCACATTTTGAGTTCGTTTCCGGCGAATTTTCGACGTTTGTAGCTGAAATTTGGAGAGAGTGTTGCCCGATAATTAGGGAAAAAAACGTATCGTGTAAGTTTTTGCTATTCTAAAGAAGAGAATACAAGTTTTATCAACTCTCAAAGTTAAACTACGTGTCAAAAACAAACTAGACGAGCAATCAAAATCAGAAACAAACTTGGTGAACCTCTCTACTTTGGGAAATTGGGCGCTGAATTCGGGACACATTTAATTTTAACGAATACACCTTCGTCAGTGATTCTTAAGCTTTCGGAAAATATTTGCGTCTAACGTTCGACCGTAAAGCGGCGCCAACGAGAGAGGGTTATTTGGGGTGCACTGATACCTTTATACACGATTAACAATACACAATATTTGGCACAACTCCGATGTAAAAATGGTAGGCTACCAAAATGAAAAAAAAAAAAAAAAAAGAGCTTAAAACTCGTCCAGAACAGTCAAGAGTTGGTCTCTTCGTCACGTCCTTATCGTACATTAAACTACAAATTCACGTCGAGACATTGTATCCTCTGGATCCTCTTACTGGGAGTTCATCGTTAGGTATACCAATTTTATGCTGCTTATATATAGAGAGGATATTACACGGTGGCGAGAAGATATGAATTTTATGTTCGAGTGGTAAGAACATAAAATTCATATCTTCGAGCCAACGTGTAATGTTCTTTTTATTATATGGAGACTAAATATTGAAACCAATTCAACAAAAGCAAAAGGCGGGAATCGTGACGTCATTGAACGATACGACACTCACAAAGGTGACATACGGAAAATACGCCACTCGGGTCCTGGATGAAGTGGCGTATGGAATCTACGAGTGGTTTAGTTCCCAGTAAAACACTCTTCTCCATATAATAAATGTATATATATTCACCGTAAAGATACTGTTATTGTGTAAGTGACTTTTCTCAATCCGTGCCGAACCAATTTTTACCCGTGCTCGGTATTGGAATAGAACTAGCTTGCAATGGAGGCTCATGCTGGGGAATATCATTAGAAAGGGATGAATCTGATTTGCATTTGAAAACACTGATTTCGTGTATTTTAGTAATTCGGTTATTAAAGCATGGCCCGCCTAGATTAGCCTTTGCTAGTTGCGGGCATGCCCTTTTTTTATTTAAATATGATTTGAAAATAACAAAGTTTATAGAGTGTAAGACTCCCCGCATTAGCCTCAGTTGCAAGCTAGTTCCAGCCCAATACCGGGAATACGAAAATGGTCTGCCAATTCCAATTAAGGTGATTCCTTAGTATTGCATTGTGCAACCCTACTGCGCACAATTTTTGCGTCATTAGTCCGCACACATTTCCCTCGACTACGCTCGATAGCGAAATAAATGCTCCTTTTCTCTTAAAGGAGCATGGTGACCCCCACTTTTTATGTCATAATTTCAATGAGAACAATATCCTCAATAACTGAGAAAAAAATTAGCAGAAATCTATGGCTACTTTTTTAGCAAATGAAATAAATACTACAGAGGGAGACATAACGGGCTCAACAGCGCGTGTCCAAATTGTTTCCTTTAAAGACGGTGCCTACTAAATACAAAGGTTTTTGCGCCAGGTTAGGACCATGCGGAAAAAGTAGATCTTTTCAAGGGCTGTTGAAATCCACAACGAAAACTGGGGGTAGCCACGCATTTTTTCGAGATAATTAGCCTTGAATCTCAACAAAAATGCTGACATCAGCATTTTTCTGAAAAAGAAGAAAAGAATATTTCCTGAGAGATTTCCTTTGAATTCGCCTTTGCATACAGAAAAGCAAACACATTTATAAAGACCTTAAAACTGCATGGTAAATGGTAACATAAAAACCATTTTTGATATGTTTTAATAACAAAATCGTTGCAACAAAGCTCTTAGCGTCTCTGACAGCCTTCCTCGGGCTCAGCTGAAATACAGTCTAAACACCTTTTGCTCACAACCAGAAACTAACCACGTGTCGAATAGGCTTGCCACTTCCATTTCGTAACATAAAATGTAGGGGTAACCACGCGTTTTTAAAAGTTATTCATCTTTTTTGAAAACCTTTTACGGTGCCCGTTACATTTTTCCCTGTCACCTCCCTGCTAAGTAAAACAATTGCGTATCTCGCACTTGTTTTGCGCGCGCACTACGTCATCTGCAGGTACGTGTTTACAATTGGATTTCAGTATAATTTTCGAGAGATAAGAGTTAGTTTTTCAGCCGGAAGACGGTATCAGTTGGTGCTTAGCGATATGCTACTATTGTGGTATTCCTGGTTTAAGCACAGGTTCATTAAACTTGATTTGGTCACAGAGGAAAATTTTGCTTTCATTTTAGTCGTGTATTTGGTAGCGTAGTTGATTGCCTCATTGTCAACCCTAGCGCGCGCGTGGCGCTTAAACCATGCCTTGCGTGATGCGCAGAATGTGTGCGCACCAACAAAAGTAGGCACCGTCCTTAAAGGATAAAAAATGCAGGCTATTTGAAGACATTTTCTCTGGGACGTAGATGAATGAACAATCAAAGAAAGCCAAACTCTCTGTGATATAACACGTTGCATTGAAAAATAATCGAGCTTATTTGTTGCGCACAGAGATTACCAAAAGTCACCTAAATAGCCGTATTTCTCAGCATTGTGGCGGGAAAACAAGGACGGTGACCCCCTCTTTTTACTACGTTTTTAATATCTCCTTGTCCTGTAAGAACAGCATACCAAGTTTCATCGGAAATCTATGGCGGGTTCTTTTACTAGGGAACCACCTTAAAAGTCAGCAGTGAAAATTAGTGCTTAAAATCAGTGAAATACCCTTACCAATTGTCCAAAAACATTTTCTAGGTGCATTCAACACTTTTAATCTTCTCCGAACTCTCACGTCAACTTAAAAGATGCATATGTTCTACTTATCGTTTGTTCCCAAGGAAATACAACTCGTATCTTGACATTTTTGTTATTACTACCTCGGTACTGATTTTAAAACTTGCTGTTTTCTTAGTCATTTCAACGACGTCTACACCCATCTCAACACAATTACTATCGACCAAATTCACACGAACATCGTGCTTTAAATATAATGTTCATACTAGGTGCAATGGGCTCCTGTACATACTTATACAGGGTTTTTTGGAAGTGAAAAACTCGTCATGTGACTTTTCAATGGGCATCAATTTGGTATCATTTTAAAGCTTAGTCCATCTCAACGGCTGCTACACCCATCTCATATTGCCAGTAGTTTTCACCAGTGGTATTGACAGATACCGAATTGGCAGACAACTTCGATTTAGCTTGGGTTCCGACGTCGTGATGGACAATTTTAAGACTGAATTATAAGACCCGCTGTCTCCCGAGACGAAATCCCTTGTGACTTTCTCCTTGTTCCTTGAACAATCACCCATGTACTTCCTGTAGCTCAGTGCAAGATTATGTAATTAATTAACTGTTCCCTGATTTGCGGGAAAACGAAACACGTAGCAACTGTCGACTACAGGTAGCCTGTCAACCGGCATCTTTACTGATCAGTGCCTGTTCGTGTTTGTAATTGCAGACAAATTAGAATTCTACGAAAAAGGCTCAAGTATCGTGGAAAATCAACTTTTATTACCATTTCCCAAGAGAAAAAGGCGTAATGTAAATGGTAAGAAAATGTATAATCAAATATTAATATTTACCTGGGGATACCAAGAATGGTGTTTACTCGCTTGGGACTAGGACGTTGAATATAAGAAGTGGGAGAAAATTGCTTTAAACCTGGGCTTAACGCCGTACTTTTCACCAGCCGAACTGAAAACGAGGTTAGATCGACCAAAGTTAATTAAGCTCGTCATGTCTAACGCTGAACTGTAATACAGGGAAGGTAAGTTTTCGCCGTTTTTCCCGCAGTTTTCCGTCCGAAAAGATCGCTGTAGGGTTTTGCAATCACGCCCTTGCATATCGAAAGCCAATAATCCAATCAGAAATAAAACCAAAACCCAATTGTGACTCGTTCCCACACGTTTTCCCGCGCTTCGTGTCAGTTACATGTATTTAGTTCGAGTTTTGATTGGTTCATGGGATTGTCTTTATACTTTGTGATTGGCTTGAGTGTTTACTTTGGTTTTGGTCGGTTACGAGAGTCAATTTGAAAACCGCTCTACATTGACTTTTAATATTTCGTCCCATGGAAAAGTCATTTCCGGGAATTTAATAGGAAATAGACCGTGTCAAGATGCCCAGAACGATGTCAGTTGTCAAAGTCTCGAAACAGACAGATTCGCAAATATGCGAAAAAAATAAATTACATAGTACTTTGTTATCCTTTCCTAAAGTATACGACCCTATACTGTAGTATGACTGTATCCTAAAGTTATGTAACTCTAGGTGAGGGGCACTTCAGAATTGGAGACAAGGCTGTAATGTATGCATGGTATTTGTGCTATGAAACTGTATTTAAAACTGGATCATTGGATAATGCAATTCGAGAGTTTTCATTGGCTTAGCCATCATGGGTTATGAGCCATTATACCATGCTCCAAAAATAAGGTGAGCGTACGCGCGAGTTTTTTTTGTTGTTGTTGTTGTTGTTTTTAATTTTTGACTTTTTTATTTTAATTTTAGTCTATTTTTCTATATTTTGGGGGCGTTTTTAATAAAACAATTGTTTCATTCGCGCCTGTTGGATATGAGGTGATTATTGCCAACTCATATCCAACGCGCGCTGTGAAATAATTGTTAAATATTCGAAACAGTAATAATAATAATAGGTTTGAAATAGGTTTTAATAGTTTATTTCTTTTACTTACTTTTACCTTGTATATACCAATTTGTATGGAATATGTTAATTAATGTTATGATGATGATAGT